CCGACTGGTGGGGCTTCTTGGACGAACCCTGGTGGGGAGCTAGGGTACAGGCGGGCTGGTGGGCTCCTGGCTGCAGCCAACTCCCTAAATCTAGTCCAGGCTCCCCGACCCCCACCCCACTTTGATATCTGAATGTACCTGGGCACCTCCAGCCGCTGCCATGTCCTAAACGGTTCCAAAGCATCACCTACCTGCCTCCCCAAAGCGAAGGCTTTCCCAAAACCGCTTCTAGGATCTTCCCAGGTGATCACCCTGAATTTTTGCATGTCACCCTCCCTGCCCCTCCTGTAATTTCCTGAGTCCTAGAAATGATCTCGAAGGATCCCGCAAAGCCAACCCAGGATTCTCCAGAACATCACATTTTGGGGGATCCCAAACTGTCATCACCCTGGGCTCTCAAACTTTCACCCTGAGATACTCTTCCAGGAGAGTGCCCCCACCCACAGGGCCGCTCTCACCTCCGCCTGTGGTCACTGGTTCCTTGCCTGCAGGACTAGGATCTGTGGCCTCAGCCGCCGGCTCTGCATCTCGCTCCAGCATCTTGCTGGCCCAGAAACCTAGAGGAGGGCGTAGGGAGGTGGAGGGGCGTCGCTGGTGGTTATTAGGCCAATGGAGATCGGGCTGGAGGTTCCTAAAATCAGGGGTCAGTCTGTTCAAGGAGCCTGGTCTCATTTAAATCTGGGATCCTAAGCAAGGATGGGAGTTGCTGGAAGGCGGAGCCTAAAAGCACGAGGGGCGGGGCTATGCAAATCGGACGCAGAGGCATTCCCTTTGCCATAGAACCAGGGTTGGAGCCTTCCAGCGGGGTAGCTGGGCCTCTGAGCAACTCGAACTCAGCGTTCCTGGTGCAGGGCGGCGGAGCCTTTGTCCAAAATGGACGGAGCTATACAAATGGGACCCCAAGTCCGCGGCTCTGCAGCTCAGACCCAGGGGAGGGGCCTAAGAATTCAGTGGGCGTGTCTTTCGCAACTTTCCCAGGAGAGGGGCCTAAGAGCTCCGGTGGAATTTCACGTCCAAGAGGTATCTTTACCTTTTGGCTTCGTCTCAGTCCATGGACGCCACGAGGGCCGCTAAATTTCTTCCTCGTTGCTAAATTTCATCCCCGGTGTGGAGTTGAAGCCGTAGAGGGCAGAGAGGAGGCCTGGATGGAGACAGAGAAAGAATGTGGCGTGTGTCGGGGATCTCAAGCGTCCGGGCCTCGGGATCGTGGCATTCGGACACCAGTGCACCCTCCCAAGGCTCAGGCACCGATGCAGCCCCACCGGAACCTATGCATCAGCATCCCAAACGATCCCACTCGGGAGATTCTAGCGTCCCGCCCCTAACCCATTTCCCCAAGACCCAAGCGTCCGGGCCCGGACCCCAGCACTCTCACCTGCGGACTGCACCTCCCCGGGGGCGGGGCTGCGGGCCCCTCCCGCGGAGGCCGAGGTCGCAGCCCCGCTGCCCTCGGATGGGAAGGAGTTGCACCGCACGCCGTGCACCCAGCGACCGTAGGGCAGGGCAGGGTGCGCTCGAAAGCGGCAGGGTCCAGCCTCATTTCCATCCCCTCCTCCCATGCGGTGCCGGTGGGGGCGTCAGTACGCAAGCGCAGTCACGGCTGGCGGAGGCTGCGGCGTGGGAGACAGAATCGAAGGAGGGGTGGGTGCGCGAGGCAGCCTCGTTAGTGAGCAAGCGCAGAGCTACGGGCCGAAGGACAGTGGGAAAGGGTACAGAGGTCTGCTGGGCCTACGGTGGCTGATTGGAGTCAAGAACGTGCTAACGGGGAGACGCTGCGCTTAGACCTCCCTGAGACAGCGCCCAGCAGGGGCACCTGCGCTTTTCTGCTTCTTTCGGAGCATTGAGGAGCCCGCGTTCCGTCTCCGGGTGCAGTTTCTACAGCTGCCCAAGCCATCGCTCAAGGCTTTTGCAAACAGTCTGGCTAATTCCGGGACAGGGGGCGGGGCGGAGCTAACGCCCAATAAAAGGCACTTAATTTGCATAGCGCCCAGGCTCCCTTCGCCATTGGGTGATTCAAGATTCTCCGCCCCTCCCACTCCAATGGCAGGACCCAGGGGAGTGACCGAGGGCCTCGGTCGCGAGGTGCCCAGGCCGGTGTTGCTTTGCATCCTTCCGCGAGCAGTGACGGGAGTGACCGTGAAGTGCCCATCGGAAAATCTCCTGCATGGGTGGTTCTTCAGCCACAAGGTCTGGAGAGCCCTGGGAGCTATGGGAGTTACCCTGAGGGGTTATTTGGGCTCTGGAGCCAGATTGCCTGGAATCTTGGCTCTGCCACTTTCTAGCTGTGTGACCTTGGGCCTCAGTTTCCTCATCTATACAGTCCAGGTTGTTAGGGTTAAATTCAGTATCAATGGAAAGTGTTTAGAACAGTGCCCACGGTGCCCAATGAATTAGTCAATTCTACCTCAGGGCCTTTGCACTAGCTGTGCCTCTGTCTCCAAGGCCCTTCGTCCATCAATTTGTTTTCTGATTCCCCCTTCAGGTCTCAGTTCAAATATTACCACTGCAGAAGGCTTCCCCTGCCCACCCTATCTCATAGGGCCAACTTACCTCCATTACTCTGTTGTCTTGTCCCCTTGTATGCACTTAACGTTGCATACCTGTCTTCTAGAATGTATGCTCTGTTAAGATGGACAGCGGGTCCATCTTGTTAATTTCTCTGTCCCCGGCATCCAGAACGGCACTTAGCACATATTAGATGTTCAATAAATTTGTGTCAAATGAATGTTTGAAAGAATGAACAGCCAGAAGCCCTCTGTAATAAGGTAGAACGATGGAGAAAATTAAGAACTTGAGGTCAAAGAGTTGGATAGAGGTCTAAGCTGAATGGGAAACCAAGGGAGGGTTTTAAACACAGAAAGTGACATGAGCTGGTTTAGGTTTTCATATACTTTTTTCTTTAACCATATTTTTAGGTTATGGAAAATTTCAAACATACACAAAAAGAGAGGGAGTAGAAGAGCAATTAACCCCAAAGACCCATCACCCAGGTTCAGCATGGCCAAATTTGTGTCATCATCTTCTCAACACCCCTCCTTGAGCCTACTAAAATATTTTGAAGCAAATTCCAAATAGTTCACCCAGAACACTTCAGTCTGTGTCTCTGAAAATATAAGAACTCTCTCTCTTTTAAACATAACCACAATATTGTTATCACACCCTTCAAATTTCAGAGTTGTTTCTATGTTATCACATAGCCCACAGTGTTCAAATTCCCCCGATAACCCCATGTGAGTTTAAACTAAACGGGTCAATTGAAAAAAAAAAATTCACGTAGCCCAGCTAGCGTGGCTCAGTGGTTGACTGTCGACCTATGAACCAGGAGGTCATGGTTCTATTCCCAATCAGGGCACATGCTTAGGTTGGGGGCTCGATCCCCATTGTGGGTGGTGTGCAAGAGGCAGCTGATCAATGATTCTCTCTCATCCTTGATATTTCCATCTCTCTCTCCCTTACCCGTCCTCTCTCTAAGCCAGTTTTTAAAAAATCAATAAAAATTATATATTTTAAAATCCGCATATAAGTGGGGCCCGCAATTCAAATCCTCATTGTTCAAGAGTCACTTGAGTATCTTTTCTTTTCTGAGCACAATGTTAAACTTTATTTCAAACATTCAGAGAATTCAAGAGAAGAATAGAACTGTTCTCTGCATTAATAACAGAAGTGGCCAGCACCAACAATTATCCAGTCATGGCCAATGCAGTATTATTTCCCCCACCCACTCCTCCCAGATGGTTTTGAAGCTATATGCTAGGCATCGTAACCCATAAATATCTTTTTATTACACTTGCTTTGTTTGAATCAGGATCTAAACAAGATCCGCACGCTGCGTTTGTGTGATGTGACTCCAGTTTCTTTTTCATTGCCGTTTTATTTTTATTTATTTTTTAAAAAATATATTTTATTGATTTTTTACAGAGAGGAAGGGAGAGAGATAGAGAGTTAGAAACATCGATCAGCTGCCTCCTGCACATCTCCTACTGAGGATGTGCCTGCAACCCAGGTACATGCCCTTAACCAGAATAGAACCTGGGACCTTTCAGTCCGCAGGCCGACGCTCTATCCACTGAGCCAAACCGGTTTCGGCTTCATTGCCGTTTTAAAAGGCGCTCTCTGGTTGCTGCATGGAAAATAGATGGTAGGGAGGCGGAGTGGGAGCCAGAATCCAGTGAAGAGGCTGTGAGATATTAGTTATAATGTAAATTACCAGCATTTAGTTAGCACCTTTTATATACCAGAAACTGTTCCCAGTGATTTATATGCGTTCATTCATTTTTAATTTTAAAAAAATATATTTTATTGGTTTTCCACAGAGAGGAAGGGAGAGGGATAGAGAACCAGAAACATCGATCAAGCTGCCTCCTACACACTCCCCACTGGGGATGTGCCCGCAACCAAGGTACATGCCCTCCACCGGAATCGAACCTGGGACCTTTGAGTCCGCAGGCTGACGCTCTATCCACTGAGCCAAACTGGCTAGGGCAAGGGTGGGCAAACTTTTTGACTCGAGGGCCACAATGGGTTCTTAAACTGGACCGGAGGGCTGGAACAAAAGCATGGATGGAGTGTTTGTGTGAACTAATATAAATTCAAAGTAAACATCATTACATAAAAGGGTACGGTCTTTTTTTTCAATAGTTTTATTCATTTCAAACGGTCCGGATCCGGCCCGCGGGCCGTAGTTTGCCCACGGCTGCTCTAGACTATAATAATAGGGATTGTTTCTGTTTAACTCACTGCTATATCCCTACCCCTCCATGGTGCCTAGAATTTATCTGCATTTGATAAACGCCTCATATTACTAGGAAAACTGAATAAAAGTGGGTGGCACTAGGAGTCCCCACTTAGTGGCTGGAACCTGGGTGGGAGGTAGTGTTCTGATTCCTAGAGGGGCTCAGCCAGAGTTGAGATGGACTTACTGTGAAATGTAAAGCATTAGAGGGGATGGGAGGATCCATTACTCTAAGGCAGGGGTGGGCAAACTTTTTGACTCGAGGGCCACAATGGGTTCTTAAACTGGACCGGAGGGCCGGAACAAAAGCATGGATGGAGTGTTTGTGTGAACTAATACATGTTAACACTGCTGCTGGTGAAGGAGCGGAGGGGAGAGCAAGAGAACCCTCCGCTCTTCTGGCTCCGCCGGCCGGATAGAACAGCCGGAACGGGCCCACTGGCCGTAGTTTGCCCACGACTGCGTTAGGGCATGCATTCATTCATTTAATCCAGGGGAGGGGAGCCTTTTTTTTCTGCCAAGGGCCATTTGGATATTTCTAACATCATTCTCGGGCCATACAAAATCATCAACTTAAAACTTAGCCTGCTCTATTTGGTCAAATATTTAATTAATGCACCCTTAATGCCTTAGCAGGGCCAGACCAAATGATTTCACGGCCTTATATGGCCTGAGGGATGTTTCCCACCCCTGAAACCCACAGCAACTTTTTAAAAGGAGGCGCTATTATTACTCTCATTATACAGAAGAGGGAAATGAGGCAGAGGGGAGAGCACATTTATCCAAGGTCACACAATTTGATCCCCTGCAGCCTGGCCCCGGAATCCAGGTAATTTGCATTTACGCTGCCTTTTGACTGGGGCAGAGGGGCAGCTGGAAAAGTGGCCTGAGTGGGGAGGGCTTAGTGATGAATTGAGAGGAGGTGGCAAGACAAGGAAGGAGTGCAGGATCTTTGGACTGGGCCTAGGACAACACCGTGTCTCCAAAAACTGTTCACAACCATAACAAGAAAGCAGTTATTATGATGACTGGACTGAAAATTAAAAACATTGTTTAGAATTAACATCACTATGTTATCGGCCCCAGGAGAAATGCCTTCCTTCTATTGGTGAAATTGTTCCCCTCCCCTTTCTCATAAATACTCATTGCCTTTGTCTCTTAATCTGAACATTGTTTGGCCGTCGGCCTGAATTAATAATTCTTGAATAGCTATTCTTATTGATACACACTTGTTTGCCTCTTAAAAAGAAAGGACATCTCACAGGGCTGACCCTAGGTAAACGCCAAAGGGAGTGCACGCCTTCAAGGGACAGGTTACTGGTCTAACAATTCTGCAAAAACATCAGGTGGTGCCCCAGGGGTGAGGAGGTCTTATGTGGGCACCCCTCACAGTAAAGATTGCCCGAGGGTCCCCATTTTGCCGGTCCTTCCCTCCCCTGAGCTCCTGGAAGTGCCTGGTCCTCGCCTTGTTTTAGCCCTGATGTCTGTACCTCTCTCCCCAGCCAGACTAAGGACTCACCTCTCAGCCCCCAGCTTCACCCAGCTCGAGTCAGGCATGCAGAAGCCCTCAGTGTGAAGAATGAATGAGCAGCCCTAACCGGTTTGGCTCAGTGGATAGAGCAACAGACCGCAGACTAAAGGGTCACAAGTTCAATTCCGGTCAAATAAATGAGCAATGTTCTCTCCTGGACTCTGAGCTTTTCTTTCTGCCTGATTCTCTTCTAGCTGGGTGTCTCCCAGATCTGAGAGATTCTCTCCCTCTTTCTGAACATTTCTCTCTGCTCTAATGTCCTAATGTCTCTTCCCATCTGTCACTATATTATAGGAGAGTCTGTATCTTTGTGTATCTTTAAGTGTATCTTTGTGACGGTATTTCTTTGACGGACATCCCATTTCAACTATATCTCTCCATGCGTCTCTGAAAGTCTCTCCAGGTCTCTCTCTCTCTGAGTGTCTCTGAGTGTCTCTCTGAAGCCTCTGAGTACCCCCTTGTCTTTGAGAGTCTCTCCCCTATAAAGAGCCCCAGAAATACACCAGGAGTTGGCAAAGTTTGGTTTGATTGACTTGCTGGAGCTAAGGAGAGAGGCCTGCGGAGTGAGCACTGCCTGTCTCTCCAAACCCAGGGAGAGAGTCATAGGATTTTTTAAAAAGATGGCATTTACACTCAATTAGATTAAATGA